AAACGCCATCTAGAGAGAGAGAGTCAATACTCCGATTTACATATGAAAATAGTGAAAATAACAGTCTGCCATTCTTGGATGTACTAATAACAAAACGGGAACCTCTTTAAGCACCAACATATATACTAAGCTTACCAACATAGGATTATGCCTGAACGGAAGAAGTGAGTGCCCAAAAAGATACAAAGCCAGTGTTCTCAATGCTTATATTCGTCGAGCGCTTACCCACTGCTCCAAATGGAGCAACATGAGTACTGAGTTTGAAAGAATAACACAGGTATTGGTGAACAACAGATATAGCAAACACGGAAATAACGCTGCTATAAGAAGACACTTGGACCGATGGTATAATCGTGAACCTAGAACAGAAACCTCAATACCTCCATAAAATTATATTACAAATCAACCATGCACAGTGAACAAAAAAAAGAGGAAAGAATAATGAAAGAAATAATCCGTAAAGGAGTATAAAGCATTACTCCTAACCAAAACATAGACCTGATCATATTCTACAAAACCAAGAAGACTTCCGAACTCCTTATCAAAAACAACCCGAAGCCGACGGAGAACCCTCTTAAGAACATACATAAGAACATAAGAACAAGGTAACGTGTTCTTATGGTGCAGTCACAGTGAGAGGTTGTGTTAGCTGGAGCTCCGATTGTAGTAACATTATTATAGCAATAATGGAAGGATTAGTGAAGGATTTGATGAATCTAGTTGGAACTCTGAGAGCAGAGATGGATTCCCTACGTGAGGAGGTACGACAGCTGAAACTTCAGGAAGAAACGAAGGAGGAGACCAATATTAACAAGACCGAAGAAGGGAATCCGTAATTGGAAGAATTCGTCCGGGATACAAATATGGAGATTTGGGATGAAAACAACAGCGAAGGAACGAAGTTACGAAATTTGCAGCATGAGTGACGGACATCGTCACACTGAATATGATGGCTTTTTAGATCAATTAGTTCATCTGAGTCTTTTACTATTACGAATATGTGATCTATATTGCCGTTATATAGATTAAATATTCGTAATAGTAAAAGACTCAGATCTAATTGATCTAAAAATCCATCTAGAGAGAGAGTCAGTACTCCGATTTACACATGAAAATAGTGAAAATAACAGTCTGCCATTCTTGGATGTACTAATAACAAAAAACAGGAACCTCTTTAAGCACCAACGTATATACTAAGCCCACCAACATAGGGTTATGCCTGAACGGTAGAAGTGAGTGCCCCCAAAGATACAAAGCCAGTGTTCTCAATGCTTATATTCGTCGAGCGCTTACCCACTGCTATGAATGAAGCAACGTGAGTAGAGAGTTTGAAAGAGTAACTCAGGTATTGGTGAACAACGGATATAGCAACGCGGAAATAAACGCTGCTATAAGAAGACACTTGGACCGTTGGTATAATCCTGAACCCAGAACAGAAACCACAATACCTCCAATAAAATTATATTACAAATCAACCATGCACAGTGAACATATAAAAGAGGAAAGAATAATGAAAGAAATAATCCGTAAAGGAGTAAAAAGCATTACTCCTAACCAAAACATAGACCTGATAATATTCTACAAAACCAAGAAGACTTCCGAACTCCTTATCAAAAGCAGCCCGAAGCCGATGGAGAACCCTCTACAGCAGTCAAGCGTTGTATACATGTACACTTGCCCCCACGAAGGATGTATCCTTCAATCTAAGTACATAGGTATGACGTCGACCCAGCTGACGAGGAGTTTGATATGCCATCTTCAATCCGGTGCCCCAAAGGAATCACATGAGACAAGCCCATGACATCAACCTAACAAGAGAAATGTTGAACAAAAATACCTGTATAATAGACAAAACCCAAGGTGCAAGAAGATTACAAATTCTTGAAGCAATTCACATAAGAATAGAACAACCTACCATGAACACCCAAATCACGGAACTATTTACTCTACCCACCATGAGAGTAAGGACAAGACCAGAACATAACGATGCCAACATAGAAGACACTGTTCAACATAACAGGCCAATTACACTTGATTAATCTTTGTATGTAGTTAGCAGCTGCCTCGTATGGTCCAATAGGCCTTCCACAGTTACCTCTGTTCTTATGTTTCACCCCCCCTTTATCCCTTATGTATCTCCCCATGTTTTCACCTTTATTGTCTTATCACCTGACCCAGTGTGGGTATAAAATCAACCAAACCTGAAAATTCTTTTCACTTGAGAATGAACCATGGAGGTTCGAACGTTGTGCAAATTGTATAAATAAGTGTAATACATTCTATAGTAATTCACTTCTTCTCTTCACCTTGAAATTACGAAAATGAGTTGTGGAGAACTCCTATTTCAGCTAAGCCCTGATGCTAAGAAAATAGTTAGATTTAGGGATAGAAGCCCTAAATCAAAGATAGTAAATACAGAATATGCGGTCATATTCAATGAGACATATATATATATATATATATATATATATATATATATATATATATATATATATATATATATATATATATATATATATATATATATATATATATATATATATATATATTAACATAAAAAAAGTTCACTTTTTGTACTTATGGAAATACTCTTCAGAGTAACCTAACCTGCATCCAAGAAACGATGCATATATGTGATATTAATATAGACCTAGCATATGTTAGTTTTGCCTAGAAGAGGCTAGTTTATTTTGTTTTGTTTTAGGTTCTAATTTCGGCTTGTGTAGGTAGAATTTTCAATAGCACAAAATATGATTTTTTAAGTTAAACAGCACAATCGAAATATGTACTGTGTCATAGAAGCATGAGTAAACAAATGGGTAAATTATTGGCCTAGGGAGAGTGTGTTGAATTTTGGTCAAGCTAAATATAGGATGATGAGTGGCAAAGAGAGTCTGCTAGAAAATCTAAACGCTGGTGAGAAAATGTCATTGATGACCAAACCACATCAGAAAATTGAGAAAAGACGACGTTTTCGGTCAGTCCTGGATCACAATTTTCTGAGGTGTGGTTTGGTCATCATATCTTCATCCACGTTATTGTGACTCATCGTCTCCAGAAAGAGACTAAGATAACGGGCAACTATGCTGAATACATTAATATTGATTTGTTTTATTTTACAAAACTTTAATCAACATTATATCATCAGTTAGAGTTGTTTCCTTGTATTTGCTTGGCCTCAACAGATTCCTTATTAGTATTTCAACTTGGTCACAGTGATAAGGTTTGAAGTATAAATAATGGGTCCACGGCAGCAGTAGCAGCAGTAGACTCCTGCACCCACAACAAGCTTCAATCAACCACCACAACCTGCTCCTCCCACAACCCACCTGCATTCCCCTCTAAAACACACTTGCACTACCACAGAGCACACCTTTATCGCCCACAACAACGCAGGTTCCGAAGGAGACACAGCTGGACGAGCAGTAAGCTGTTCACCGTCATCTTTCCACTGTCACCTGACTACCTTTACCTATCTACCTTCAGCTGTCCACCGTCACCTGTCCACCTTCAGCTGGGCAGCGTCTTCAACATGACCAACCCGCTGCTGCTGGAATCGACTTTGGTAAGAATATCCTCAAGTGATTCTTTTGAATCATTCAACATTATTTGTTATATTTTAGCGCTAAAATTATTTATTAATCTGTCTACAGAAATGCGTGTGTTAATCATTCTTTATGATTGACTCATAATTTACATATCTCACTATGTCCTCTGAACACGTATATTCAAAGACAGTTTAAACGTGACAATCACAAAAGGCGAAGTACCCTGCATGTACTTAATTTTATATTAATTTTTTTCCGGAAGACGAGTTTATTGGGGAGCGTCACTCTTCCTGTGAGTGAACATGCTGTTATTGTGACAGTATTGGGCAGCGTCACTCATCCAGTGAGTGAACATGCTGTCATAGTGACAGTATTGGGCAGCGTCACTCATCCTGTGAGTGAACATGCAGTTATTGTGACAATATCGGGCAGCATCACTCATCCTGTGAGTGAACACGCTGCCATAGTGACAGATTTGGGCAGCGTCACTCATCCTGTGAGTGAACATGCTGTTATTGTGACAGTATTGAGCAGCATCACTCATCCTGTGAGTGAGCATACCACCATAGGGACAGTATTGGACAGCGTCACTCATCCTGTGAGTGAGCACACCGCCATAGGGACAGTATTGGGCAGCGTCACTCATCCTGTGAGTGAGCACACCGCCATAGTGACAGTATTGGGCAGCGTCATTCATCCTGTGAGTGAACACACCGCCATTGTGACAGTATTGGGCAGCGTCACTCATTTTCTGAGTGGACATACCGCCATATTGAGAGTATTGGGCAGCGTCACTCATCCTGTGAGTGAACACACCGCCATAGTAACAGTATTGGACAGCGTCACTCATCCTGTTAGTGAACATGCTGCCATTCAGACAGTATTGGGCAGCGTCACTCATCCTGTGAGTGAGCACACCGCCATAGGGACAGTATTGGACAGCGTCACTCATCCTGTGAATGAGCACACCGCCATAGTGACAGTATTGGGCAGCGTCACTCATCCTGTGAGTGAGCACACCACCATAGGGACAGTATTGGACAGCGTCACTCATCCTGTGAGTGGGCACACCGCCATAGGGACAGTATTGGACAGCGCCCCTCATCCTGTGAGTGAGCACACCGCCATAGTGACAGTGTTGGGCAGCGTCACTCATCCTGTGAGTAGACATGGTGCCATAGTGACAGTATTGGGCACCGTCACTCATCCTGTGAGTGAACATATCGCCTAACCGAAATATGCAACACCCATCAATAGGAAGAAAACCAGCTGGATAGTTCATCCTGCCACAGGCACCCAAACGCAGCTGGGACTTACTTAACTGTCTCAAGTGAAGAGACTGTAAAACAAGGAAATAACATCTTACAATCCTAAAGTTTTCGGTATCTTGCAGGTGCAACGTGAGTGAAGCTTTTAAGGACAGTGTTTTTTACAAAATCTGCTGTCCGAACTCAATACGGGATTTATTATATCACATATTGCTAATGTCCTTTAGATGGGGACAATCCCTCAGGTAGCAGTTCAGACGATGTCCGTCACTCATGCTGCAAATTTTGTAACTTCGTTCCTCCGCTGTTGTTTTCATCCCGAATCTCCATATTTGTATCCCGGACGAATTCTTCCAATTACTGATTCCCTTCTTCGGCCATAACGACCGAAATTGTCGGCATTGACTACATTGTCTCAGCGTACAAATTTACTGATTAACTCTACTGTCCGCTTTTCCTCGCCTACCTTGTCATGGTGATGTTTGATGATGCCCTGGTTTGTAAATGCAGTCTTGTAGATGAAGTATACATAATGGCCTCCTTCATCACCATTGGCTTTTTCCCTTGTCTACCTATTATGTGTGAGTGTACATTTAGGATGATCCTTTCAACCATCTTATTGCGCGTTCAAGATATGAGACTTGTAGAACAGAAATTACCTTTGTGTTTCTGTATGAGGACAATTACTACAAATTTTCACTGTGTGGGAAATACTCCATTCAAGTATGAATTATTGAACATATCGGGTATTAGATTCTCCGAGACTTCACACAGTGCATTTAATATCATAGGAATCCCCCCCCCTCCCCCCACCCGTCTTCAAAAAATGCAGTTCCTTTACCTTTTTTTCATAGCCCCGTTTACCTCTTAGGATGTGATTGGTTGTACATATTCGTCCTCGCTGCATAGTTCCCTTGTTATTCAGATTTTTCTTTCATTATACCGCAGGATCTGTTCTTGCATAGTTCTGAGGGGAGGGAGCATAATGATGCCAGGGATAAATGTAACCCGCTTCGCGGTGTATATACACTGTATACTTTAGTCCTGGACTAAAGTATACTTGCTAGTTGGTTAGTAAGTTATTGTGGTGGTCTTAGTAATCCTCTGAATACTCCTCGAACGGTTAAGTGATTTGTACCAATTATATCTCCAGTTCAAGGTAATGTTTATATATTATTATATAAGGTATATTTTAACATGTTTTATGAGTGATAGTTTCAGGAGCAACATTAACATGGCGGGTGTCTGCTGCAGGTGGCGTGGGTGACGGCGCTGCTCTGTCACCCAGGTCCTCGCCCAACGTGGCTGTGATCCGATTTGCCAAGTGGACACTATGGTAACGGATGCTTACGACTGTACTCGGTATTACATCTGTATAGACAATAATGAAGCAGTCAATGTGCTTTGTCCGCCTCTTACATCCTTCGTACCAGCCAGTGCCACAGCAGATGCAGGCTGTACTGGTACCCTACCATGTAACAATGATTGCACGCTACCAACTTGCAACACACAATGCATCACAGAACCGGACTCGTTTAATGACCCAAAGGACTGCAGCATCTATTACATTTGCATGGGCGGTAGCCCTCAGGGGCCCTTCGAATGTCCCGCAAACGCTCCTTATTATAACAGCGATAAAGAGGTCTGCGGTACGACACCATCCGGCTGCTGTAGGGACCCGTGTGCTGCTTTTTGCATGAATGGGAAATTTTTTACTCAAGACCCCTACGATTGTCACAAGTTCTACCAATGCTTCACCGCAGGACCAGCTGACGAGACGAATCACGGAACATGCCCTATAGGATACAGCTTTGACGATACAATAAGTAAATGTGTAGTCGGTGACGTTTGTGACACACTGTGTGATGCTTCCCAGCCAATCACAACAACGGCCACTCCTGAGTGCAAGGATTCAATGACGTGTACGTCAGTGGGCTTCTTCCCCAAGTGTACGTCGTGTGACCAGCACTACTTTGAGTGTGAGTACGTCAACCAGATAGCCACCGTTAATACCTGTGAAGGAGACAAAGTTTTTAACCCGGACCCCGCCTACCCTCACTGTATCTCTCCCACTGCATGCCCTTTCAACCCATCGTTCAGAGCCCCCGAACCCCGCTCTAAGACCACCACGCACCTACATGAACTACCAACAATCTACCTTGGCTGCTAGGAACTTCAACCACGATGCCGAGAATACCAACATGGTACCGAGAATACCTGGGACATAAACCACACTATCGATACCATATCTACTTATATCCACTACCAGGGACACCAACAACCTTCGGGAACTACTACCCACCTACCTGCACTACCAGGGACACCAACCATCCTCCAGGAACTACCCCCCCCCCCCCCCTACCTGCACTACCAGAGGCACCAACCATCCTCAAGGAACTACCATCCCCCCTATCTGCACTACCAAAGACACCAACCATTCTCCAGGAACTACCACCCACCTACCTGCACTACCAGGGACACCAACCATCCTCCAGGAACTACCACCCACCTACCTGCATTACCAGGGACCAACCATCCTCCAGGAACTACCACCCACCTACCTGCACTACCAGGGACACCAACCATCCTCCAGGAACTACAACCCACCTACCTGCACTACCAGGGACACCAACTTGAGGCAAATGATCTATAATGTGAGGCAATAATGTACAACTTGATGCAATACAGGAAAACTTGAAGAAAATAATGTATAACTTGAAGTAAATAATGTACAACTTGAAGCAAATAAGCTATGACTTGAAGCAAATAATGAATACCTTGAAACAAATAATGTATAATTTGAAGTAAATGATGTATAACCTAAAGCAAATAATGTATAATACAAGGCAAATAATTTATAACTTGAAACAAACAATATAATGTATAACGTGAAACAAATAATGTATAACATAAAGCAAAAAGTGTATATCAAAAAGCAAATAATGTATAACATAAAGCAAAAAATGTATATCAAAAAAGCTAATAATGTATATCTTGAAGGAAATAAATTATAACCTAAGACCAATAAACATTTTTGTTTTACGTTGTAAATTATTTGCTTCACGTCATACATTATTTGCAGCACGTTATACATCAATTGCTGCAACTTACATTATTTACAACAAGTTATATATTATTTACTTTCGGTTACATATTATTTCCTGCAAGTTATACATAGTTTGTTTTAATTATACATTAATTACTTCACGTTATAAATTACTTGCTTAAAATTATTCATTATTAGTTTAAAGTTATATATTATTTTCATCGCGTTATACATTAATTGCTTCAAGTCATTCATTATTTGCTTCAAGTCATTCATTATTTGCTTCAAGTCATTCATTATTTGCTTCAAGTCATTCATTATTTGCTTCAAGTCATTCATTATTTGCTTCAAGTCATTCATTACTTGCTTCAGGATATATATTATTTGTTTCAAGTTACATATTTTTTTTTCAAGTTATACATTATTTGTTTTACGTTATACATTATTTGCTTCAAGTTATACATAAGCTTGAAGCAAATAATTTGCTTCAAGTTATACATTACCTTCAAGCAAATAATGTATAACGTGAAGCAAATAATGTATATTCTGAAGGAAACAATGTATAACGTGATGCAAATAATGTATAACTTGAAGCAAATTATGTATAACGTAAAACAAATAATATATATCTTGAAGTAAATGATGAATAATTTAAAACAAATAATGTATAACATGAAAAAGTAATGTATAATGTGATGCATATAATGAATAATGGATGCAATATAATGAATGAATTTAGCAGTCTCCGTGGTGTAGTGGTAAGACACTCGCCTGGCATTCCGCGAGCGCTATGTCATGGGTTCGTATCCTGGCCGGGGAGGATTTACTGGGCGCAATTCCTTAACTTTAGCCTCTGTTTAACGCAACAGTAAAATGTGTACTTGGATGAAAAAACGATTCTTCGCGGCAGGGGATCGTATTCCAGGGACCTGCCCAAAACGCTACGCGTACTAGTGGCTGTACAAGAATGTAACAACTCTGTGTATATAAAAAAAAAAAAAAAAAAAAAAAAAAAAAAAAAAAAAAAAAAAAAAAAAAAAAAAAAAAAAAAAAAAAAAAAAAAAAAAATAACCTAATGTACACTGTTCAGCAAAAAAATATAGTTTGTACCAAATAATGCTCAAATTTGCCTCAAATAATGTATAATTTGGAGTAAATAATGTATAATTTGAAGTAAACAATGTATAATTTGAAGTAAATAATGTATGCTTATCTATATAAATAAAAATGGAAATGTTCGTTTGTTCAAAATCGCTAATCTCCGAAAGTTCTACATCGATTGCTTTGAAATTTTCACACAATGTTCCATTCGCATCAGAGTAAGTTTTTATATACAGATTATACTGATGTCACGTCTGTGACGGAAAAAAACATGCTTTTATTTTAAAAACTGTTTCTAATGTGTTTTTCACGTGAGAGAAATCTTCGAAACCTCTTTACCAATTGCTTTGAAATTTTGGCACTACATTGCATTCGAATATGTGCATCTTTATATTTACCTACTATATAGATGCCACCTCTGTGGCAGGTAAAAACATGTGCGTTTGAAAAACAGCCCCATCTGTTGCACATAATAGCAACATGCACGCTATACTATATATGTCACAAATTCCATTTGAATGTTTCTGATTTCATTGATAAATTTTATTTTCATAGATTTCGATTTACTTTATTTGTTATTGTATTATTTTTTGTGACATTGTGTTGGAATTGAGCTGTGTTGTGTACCATACCGTTCATTTCGTGGGTATAGTCTATTTTTTTACTTTTTCATATTTTCATTTCATTTTTTACCTGTTTTTCTTATATATCTGTGATGGGAACATCAGATCACTTGATGGTCCCAATTTTTTTATAAGAACATCAGACCATTTGGGAAGGCGTCGGACGAGGGAGTGGGGAATGGTGGGGATGACGAGGGAACGGAAGTGAGAGATGGTGGGGAGCACGAGGGCACGGAAGTGAGAGATGGTGGGGAGCACAAGGGGGCGGTGGAGTGGAGAATGGTTGGGATGCTGAGGAGATGGATGAGAGGGAATGGTGGGGAGGACTAGGGGATAGGAAAGGTTGCTGTGGTTCCTCAATGCACATGCTTTGCTGAGCCACAGCAACACGTGGCCGGGTACTGCTAATCTATATAAATAAAAATGGAAATGCTCGTTCGTTGAAAATCGCTAATCTTCGAAAGTTCTTCACCGATTGATTTGAAATTCTCACACAATGTTCCATTCTTATCAGAGCAGGTTTTTATATACATATTATATTGATGTCACGTCTGTGATGGAAAGAAACATGCTTTAAAAAAACTGAGTTTTTCACGTGAGAGAAATCTTCGAAACCTCTTTTCCGATTGCTTTGAAATTTTGACACGACATTGCATTCGAAGAGGCGCGTGTTTTTATGTACCTACCATATACATGCCTTACCTGTGACAAGAGAAAACATGCTTTTTTGAAAAACAACACCATCTATTGGATGTAAGAGCAACACACGCTGCAATCTCTCAAAGTTCTTCACTGATTGCTTTGAAATTTTCACACAACGTTCCATTTGCATCCGAGCAGGTTTTTCTATACAAACTATATAGATGTCACGTCTGTGACGGGAAAAAACATGCTTATTTTGAAAGACTATGTTTTTCATGTGAAGGAAATCTTGGAAACCTTTTTACAGATTGGTTTGAAGTTTTGACACAACATTACATTCGAAAAGGCGAGTGTTTTTTTATACTTACTATATACACGCCTTACCTGTGACAGGAAAAATCCTGTTTTTTTTTTTTTGAACCAACGCCATTTGTTGAATGTAAGAGTAACACACGCTGTAATCTCCGAACCGTCTTCACCAACTGCCTTGAAATTTTGACACAAAGTTCCATTCGAATATGCGTGAGTCTTTATATACCTACTATATAGATGCCACATCTGTGACAGGTAAAAACATGCTTTGTTTGAAAAAACAGTGCCATCTGTTGCACGTAAGAGCAACATTCGCAATACTATATATGTTAAATTTAATTTTAATGTTTCCGATTGGATTGATAAATTGAATTTTCATAGATTTCGATTTATTTTCATTTTGATTTAATTATTTTGTGTACCATTGCAACCCGTTCTCGCAAATTCGTAAAGTCAATATTGACTTATTAACTACGTGCATAGGTGATATACTAAACATAATAGATACCCCTAAAAAGATTCATAGAAAACACCGACCTTACCTAACCTTGTTAGTATCTTAAGATAAGCATCTTATTGCTTTGTAATTACAATTATTACTTAACCTATACCTATTATAGGTTAGGTAATAATTGTAATTACGAAGCAATAAGATGCTTATCTTAAGATACTAACAAGGTTAGGTAAGGTCGGTGTTTTCTATGAATCTTTTTAAGGGTATCTATTATGTTAAGTATGTCACCTATGCACATATTTATTAAGTCAATATTGACTTATTAAATTTGCGAGAACGGGTTGACCATTGCACTGGAATTGAGCTGTGTTGATTACCATACTGATCATTTCGTGAGTATAGTTTATTTTTTTATTTTTGCATTGCTTTTCATTTCGTTTTTTTAAACTGTTCTTCTAATTTTTCAGTGATGGACCCATCAGATCATTTGATGTTCCCTATTTTCCGGTGATAAGAAAATCAGAACAGATCATTTGCGAATGCATCGGACGAGGAAGTGGTGAGGATGAGGGAAGGGTGTGGGGAATGGTTGGGTGAATGAGGGGACTGGGGTGGGAGGTAATGCTGGGGAGGACGGGGGGATGGGGATGGTGGGGACGATGCAATGGGGGAACGGAGACAGGTGGGGAGGACAAGGGAACAGGGGACGTGCACAATGGTGGGGAATAAGGGGGGGGGGGCAGGGGAGGGGGGGAATGGTAGGAAGGGCGAGGGATGGTGGAGTGGGAGATGGTGGGGAGGACGAGGGAACGATGGAGTGGGTAATCGTGGGGAAGACGAGGGGACAGTGAAGTGGGGAATGGTGGGGAGGACAAGAGTATGGGGGAATGGGATTGATTGGGAGGACGAGGGGACGAGGGAAGGGGTATGGTTGGGAGGTCTAGCGGACAGGGAAAGGTTACTGTGGCTCAGCAACGCACATGCGTTACTGAGCCACAGCAACGCATGGCCGGGTACAGCTAGTCTATATAAATAAAAATGGCATTGTTCCTTTGTTCAAAATCGCTAATCTCCGAAAGTTCTTTACCAATTGCCTTGAAATTTTCACCCAACGTTCCATTCGCATCCGAGCAGGTTTTTATATACATACTATATAATTGTCACGTCTGTGACGGGAAAAACATGTTTTTTTTTAAAAGCTGTGTTTTTCATGTGAGGGAAATCTTCGAAACCTGTTGCTTTGTAGAAACCTGGTTGGTTGCAACAACCAACAGGTTGTAGCAACCTGTTGGTTGCTTTGAAATTTTGAGACAACATTGTTTTTGAATATACGAGCGTTTTTATATACCTACTGTATACATGCCTCACCTGTGACAGGAAAAAAACATGTTTTTATTTAAAAAGCACCATCTGTAGGATGTAAGAGCAACACACGCTGTAATCTCAGAAAGTTCTTCAGCGATTGTTTTGGAATTTTGACACAACGTTCCAGTCGAATACGTGCGTTTTTTTTATATACCTACTATTTAGATGCCACACCTGTGACAGGAAAAAACAGTTTTTTTTTTTTAAACAGTGCCATCTGTTGCACGTAAAAGCAACACACGATATACAAAATATGTTACAATTTTATATCAATGTTTCCGATTGCATTGATACATTGAATTTTCGTAGATTTTTATTTATTTTATTTTTATTTAATAATTTTGTGTGACGTTGCGTTGGATTTGAGCTGTATTGGATACCATACCGTTCATTTCGTGGAAATAGCTTATTTGTTCCTTTTTTCATTGTTTTTCAATTCATTTTTTTAACTGTTCTTATTTTTCAGTGCAATTGGTGGTGAAATTGAGCTGCGTCAATTGATCTGCATTTGAATTGAAATATTTTGTTAGTATTTTTTTTTTTTTTTTTTAATCAAGAAAAGGGACAACACATTTATTTCATAGTCGCAAATGTGCAACAAACAGCTATGAATCCACCGGCTGCAACGTTAACTGCTTTCTTCACGTTATGTCAAAATGACGCATTTGCGAAAACACTGCTGTATTCGGAAGTGCATACGTATTACACATGGAATGCCAGTAGAACATCATTTGAATGACGCAAACAAGGAGTGCGAGTCGATGGATAACCTGCATATTCAAATATACTGCA